CTTAAATTTAATTAATTATTTGCAGGTATTGGGCCTAATCATAGCATGTATAGCTATAAAGCTAAGCATACAGGAGAGAGAGAAAACAAAAAAAATATCATGATATGAAAAATTATTTTATCATAATATAAAAGAAGTAAAATAAAAATATTAGTATACATTATATTATTATGGTTATTAATAGTAATGTTGGTAATAAATTTACTGATTTAGTGAACAAATAAAAAATCGAAGTCATTAACTAAACTAAAATAGTAATATATCTCATGAAGATGAGTTATCGGTAGTCGGTACCGTTTTCTGTAGTTATTTCCATGTATGATTTAACATTGCACCGTATAATATGATCAATTGGGGCCATAATTAGAGGAATACTCTATAAAATCATTATCTTTTGAATTCACGTTGTCTGGAGACTGAAACAAGTAGCACTGCCTTCTGCGATAACCTTCAAATTTTGAGATTTACTCCATCTTAGACATCTCACTAGGTGATATTCGTTTTGATAACAATCCGTATTAAGTATATATGAATACCTGTTAATAAAATATAGACTGTGGTCGTTATTGCCAAATGGAAAGTGATATGGAGTCAAATAATTATGTACCACTGTCATAATAGAGTACTATATCAATCGCTTTTTATCATTATAATATGAGACGACTTTTTAGAAAAAAAAATAATTAGCGTCTCGCGTTCAAAAAAACAACAAATAGCAATTTTAAAATCATGCACAAATACTAGCTGGTAGCTTTGTACACTGTATATTATGGTGGCGTTTTGAAAATATTTCTCAAAAGAACAAAAGGACGAACGCGTAAAAGGAGGACGTGCTTTTATCAATAAATACGCACGCACACACACACACACACACACACACACACACACAAGCGCGCACACACTCACTCAGTGGTTTTAATTTACATACATCTTTCGCTCTGAAGCAAGGACAAACCCCTACGACGTTCTTCTATTCGTTCTATTTTTGTTCTGCTCTTCCATTTTTCGAAGTTTTTGTATTTGGTGCTTTCGGGCAAAAGGTCGGGGTGCATAATCGCTCGTCCCCCGGGGCGAAATTCCACAACGACGCAGAACCCGTAAAAGACACGTGTTTCGATCTCGTTTTGCCGTTTTGGTAGAACATTGCAACATAATAACGAAATCACGTGGTCTTTGCAATATACAGTAAATATAATTGTATACACTCATACTACACAGGATATAATACAATAGCTGATATAACATTTTTTTAAATGTAATTTTAGTGTACAAAACTTTGGGAAAATGATTTTTCTTCTGAATGTCCTTTATGGTTAAGGGCCTATATTATAATATTGCACGATGACAACCACGCGAACAATATTCATGGTAGATACATTTCCTCCGACTTTTGCTATTTCCAAGAATTTCAGTCCCACGGAGAACAGCTTAACTTATCAATGACTTGCAAAATTTTAAGGCACACTTATAAACATATATATATATACATATACAATGTTTTTTATTTGGTTGGATTACAATTTTTCCGTGGGGGAAGACATCAAATTATGTATTACATGTTAAAAATGCTCAGAGTCGTTATCTACTATTTTATACAGTTTTTTTTTTTTTGTGTTGATACTTTAAAATACAAAATGTAGTGAAGGTTTAGGTTTGTACGTTATTTTCATCATGCAATTTTAAATTGTGTAAACACATAAATATACCATTTATTATGATTTAACTCTATAATTATTTTTCGTGCATTTCTAACATGCATAATAATTTATTAACTATTACATTATACGGATATCAAATAAATGTCTAATCAACCAATTACCACAAGTCCCTGACATTTGAGTAACAGTTGTGTAACCGGGATTTCGCATTTTATTTTAAATTTGTGACACGGCGTAACGTATAGGCAAAAGTGATACACTAGAGTGCAGAACAGCGTCATCGGTAAACTATTCAATATTCATTATGATAATGAATTGATTAAATTATCAATGACAATATCCACATATAAGTATTATAAAGGTATATATTTTTTTCTGTTTCAAGATTGATCACTCAGCCATGTCATTTTAACTTTAATCTAAAATATTAACTATCGTTAGTCAGATGTATTAGTCACGGTTATACGTTTGAACTTTGGTAAAATAGGTTATTTTCACGCATAATACGATGGCTGTATTTTATCTTTTTCTGAAATTTAATTAAAATGTTAAAATTTGAAATTTCATCTTTCAGAAAAATGGGAACTTAACCACAACACATAAAGCTCAAAATCTCAGATTTTCTTAAACTGTAAAAGTGATTGAATGTCCCATTTTTCGGTGTGATACTCGAATACTTGAATTATTACATGTTTTTACGTGTTTTTCATGTATTTTGAAGTCTATAATATTATGATACATTGCTCGACCTTTCAAAAATAAATTTTATTGCATAATACATATTATATTTTTTTTAAGAAAAACAAACAATTTTTAAAAAACGAATACTTAACATAAATTGAATTTGTTCTGCTAGAGTAAATACCAGAACTTTATAAAAAAATTTTGTTGTACAGCAAACCTATTGAGGATTATTTTTAAGCGAACTTTTACAATTAATCTGATTTCATTGCTCAATAAGACATTATTTGATCAATTCTTTAAAAAAAAGTTTAGGAAACTTTATAAATTTTAATATAATAAAAACAATACCATGTTATATTATTATGTATTATACTTAGGAACAATGCAATTGGAAAACACACGAGAATGTATTTTGTATTTTATTATGAGAATCATATTTTGTATGATAATATTAAAATTCGTTTATTGAAGTATTGTTATTACTATTTGAAGAAACAAACAAGTGAATTGCTTTATATTAAATCAATAACTATCAGACTTTACGCATTTATACAGGGTGGGCTCCAGTGTCCTACTACATTTTGCCATTATGCCAAAAATATGACAAAAACATGGTTGACCACTTTGTTCATTGAGAAAAGTAAGAATGGTTAGAAAATATTTTACGAAATACAACTTTTTAACTGATTTCTGTTTACTGTAGTCTACCCACATTATCATGCGTAGTTGTTATGTGTATTGTAGTTACCTGTTTATACAAACATGTATTTTTTCATTATTCTATATTTTTAAACAAGAATTCAATAAAGAAAAATATAAGTATTTATGTAATCGAAATAAAATCATAAAAAAGTAATCATATAAATATAATGAAAAAATCCGTCTAGATATTTTAGACATATAATACTTTAAGCGATAAAAGTACAAAACAGAACATTTCTTATCGAATATAAAAAATATTTTATCACTACCAGTTGTAGTTATATTATTTTGTTTCAAAGACTTATTAATTATAAGAATTTATTTTTAAAAAATATTTTAAATAAAAGAGAATTCTCTTTGAATTGGATTGAACGTGAACGTAAAATATATAAGAACGAATTGTAATTTTTAATAATTGCTTTGAAAAAAACACAATCATGAGAAATTTATTTTGTTATTTTGTTATTATCATTATTTTGTTTTGTCTACAATAACGCGTTTTTAGCTTATTTTCTATCTAGATGACATACGGATATTATGCTGAGTTTTAAAGTTAAAATTTTATAACGTGATGAAAATTATAATTATTATAAAACGATAAATGTTTACCCATATTATAAAACGAGATAACTAAGTAGGCAGTTAATACTAATATAGTCATAATTAATAGTTATGAAAAATATGAATATATATTATGTTACATAGTATGTCAATGAAAATTCAAAAGTTAGTCAATTACAACAAAATAAGAAAATCGCTACGTCATGAGAAATCTAGTGAATATCTAATGTTGTAAAAATTTCAACTTCAAAAGATCATAAAAATTTAATTTTACTTTCCGGTAGAATTTTTTTTTTCATAAATGTAGACGAACTTATAAGGAATCTTGTATTAAATTTTAAAATCTTAGATGTGAAAAGAACAATTTTTATGAACGTCTAACTTAAAATGAATCACAAATTTTAGGGATTTTTACGTATTATGTTGTAATTTGAAATTCAGGCGCACCTAAAAAAATATTGTGGACTACTCTAAACTTTTATAGAGTATTATATTTTCAAGTTTCTTGACAGAGTTAAATAATTTTATAGACATTACCCGGAAAAAACTAATAATAATCGAACATTTCATATGCCTATAAATAGTTAAACATGAGTCAAAATATTTTGAAAATTGTATGTTCTATAGAAAATACTAACAAAAATATCGAGTGAAAATGTTATGTGTAATGGTCATTTTTTAAGAGTTACACTAAAAACCAAAATCGGGGTTCTCGAAAACTGGTTTTGACAGTTTCGATAGAAATTCCCGTTTTTCCTTAATTTTTTGTTTGTTTTTCCTGACGCTTTTGGAAAAACTATTGGGAATTTTAAATTTTTACCTCCTGAATGCATCAAATAGATTCACTTTCCTAACAGAATAGTTGCTGTTGAAGAAAATCAAGTATTCTTAAGTATCATACTATCATTAATTTTAGTGCCCCATATCGTGATTACAGACACAAAATAAAATAAAAACACACATCATTGTCAAATCAATATATTCATCTCTCCGCTCAGAATCTATAACTAAAATATATTTGATGTCTTGGTTAAAACTTTCAAGTACACACGATCCAATTGATCATCTTCATCTATAATCACTAACGTACCCGATACCTCTATGGCCACTATGATAGTAAAATGTTCTCAAAGTGCTGTATTCTGTCGTTATAACAAAACATCGCGTACAGTCACTAACATCTCATCGAATTCTAGTAGTTATCAATACGATACGTGTTTCAATATTATAATAATAGCGATGAGCTAATTGGATTCGGTCTAACGGATTATTTAATCGGTTTAATTAAGTCGAATAATTTAACCGATATAGCATTAACTGCAGAGTTGTATACCTACAACAACACTATCGTAATGTCTATTGTAATACATAATATTATCATTATTATTATTTCAGTCACAGAGAGAAAATTTGGTGACAAATGCGAATCCAACGACGACTGTCACTTCAACGGGTCAATATGTAGAATTGACCGGAGCAACAAAAAGTGTCTGTGCCAACCCGAATTTGAGGCCACCAACCACATAGACAAATGCGGACACAGTACGTATAATATATTATATAGACTATGCATTTATATTGATTTTCATTGTTTTTCTGTTTTTCATTTTACTAACTTATTTACTGCAATATTACACTTGCGTATTATTGTACATTTTATAATCGTTTACGTAGACATGCGTGCTATAACCCATTATGCACGACGAAGGTGGTGTGTACGCGGGTGGGCACAACTGAAAAAAAAATCAAGTTTTACCCCTTTCCAGTAGACTTCATAAAGTCACTGGTGCAACACTATATAATAAACTTCTGCCGAGTGCCAGCGCACGGTCCTGTCAATAATAAGAGTTTACCGTTCGCATTGGACGTGCGAAACTGTAGGGTGAACCTCCCTGAAATAGAAACGAAAACTCCACGTCACATTGTAATACCAGCCGGCATTTTTGGAGAAACGTTGGTTTTTTAATTTTTTTAATCGAAACCTCAAAGAGATAAATTTAATTGTTATTGACTTAATATTCTGACGTTATAGGTACCTTTATAGGTTGTAGGTTCCTTCTAAATATAAAAATGGTATGATTCATAAAAATATCAAATATTTATATTATCGACACAGCTTGATTATAATATTACATAATAATGATTTTTATGCAATATCATATTATACGAATATATAATATATAACCAAAAAAGGTTTAGAGTCGTGGGCCATTGATATTTTATAGACATTGGTCTATTTTTTTTATGTATTTTCTTGGGAATGCATTTTAATATTTAAGCAACTAACTTTTAGAAGTTCAACTTTTATGTACATTATTTAATGGGTGTCTTTATTATTTCATACAGTATTTACAGCGAAGAACTACACACGTCTCGTTAAATGATGACCATAAACACATCGAAGAATTAAAAAAAAAAAACATTAAAACAAATAGATACCAACAAAAGACAGTTTGTATGAAATAATTACATTTTGAACCGTGAACCAAAGTTTAACTTTTAAAATTAAATCAACTTACAATAATGTAAGAAACATCAATTAACTTTTTTAGGTTTAAATCGTAAGAGTTGGAAACAGTATATTTTATTATATTATATTATTAAACTCTAATATTATTCGAGTAGGGATGGAATTACATTTGGATATTCCATATATATATTCTTCACGCTTTTTCCATTTAGGATTAGGGCCTTCACAGTCCTAAACTTCTCATTTTTCATGCTTTTCAAAGCCTATCGCTAAGCTCCATTCCATTTGCTTGGAAATTCTCTGTACAATATTCTACACATTTTTACCTACTTATGTAGTGTTTTTCAATTTCGGTCAGTATGGTTTTCATTTGTTAAGATGACTAGAAATTTAAAAATATTAAAATACATAAATTATATATACCTATTACCTATCATCTATGAATTAATACAATTTAGATGTCGATTCCATTATTCTAAAGTTCTGTCATGCATGATACAATAATTGAATAATATTTGTAATGTACCTAATATATCTACAAAATAATTGTGCAAAATGCTTCAAACAATAAATTTAATTGATTTTCTTCACAACTATATCAGTCCAGAGACATTTCCCATAAACGAAAAAATGTTTTTTTTTTCGCTGTTTTTTATTTGTGTTACATAAAATTAAACATAAAATAACATTTACAATAAGAGTGATAGACAATATGTGGACGTATTAAACATAATATTATATTATTATGATCTATATCTAGATCTTAAAAACGGTTTTCGATTGCATTTCAAATAAATCAACTGCCAATAAGGTTTTAGAAAAATTATTGCACACTGGCGAATTTTTTTCTCGATCTTTTTATTATTTAATACATCTGTTTATTATACAGACCCGAGACGGCACGTGATCCGAATACATTTTTGGGTAACGTAAATCCATGCCAAATTTACTGTTAAAAAAAACTTCGTGTATATATATACCTATATATTATATATGAATATAAATAAATTGCACTTAAACGATCCTCCCTTTTATAGGCATATAAAAAACCTACAAGTACCTGACTCTGTTACTAAAAGTGTGAGTGACGACTTAATACTCCATCCAGTTCCTGATTTTTTACATACGTACGTCCTCGTGTACCTACAATGTAAGTAGTAAAGGTACACATATTATAGTGTTTTCCATCCCGACGAGTAAATCACGGTTGAGACATTATTATACCACTAACACCTTTTTTATGTTCACCGTCAAATCGAAACATTTCGATCACAACTCAAATGGTTTTAAGTTTTTATTACTCTTACTTATAAATAACATTAACGATCCAATGCTGTGACTGACGACCTTTATAGCTAGTTGTTATATATACTTACCTTATACAAATTGAGAATAACGACCCAAGGCTACTGGTAATTTATATAAGTACAGAATATATTTTTATAATTTGTTGATATTTTTTTCTATCAAAACATTCGACGAAATTTTTTCATTTCAGACTGTGAAATAAAATATAGTTACGTCCTACTTTAATCCAATTTCTAAGCACAAGATGACTCGACGTTCATATATTATGTCGTATTATTTAATTTATACACATTGCAAGTACTTTTACATCGTTGTAATTGATTTTTTTCTTTACACTTTATATCAAGAAGCTTTCTTGCGTCTAACAAAACTTTTTAGTTTTTACCATACTAAAAGTATAAAAAAAAAATAAAACAATCTGAGCGATTATCTAAAAGTTAATACTGTAACGGTTGTTACGTGTCGGTTTGTCGATTAAAATAAAAAATATACGAATGTATGCCATTGTAATTAATTATGTTCAATATCCCTTAAACAATTTTAAAAATAATTTTTTTTTCTTAATAATCATTTATCGAACGCCTGCGTATTTTATAATTTACTAAATTTTATTTCATTACTAATTATTGTGAGTTATAAATATTAATAATAATGTATCAATATAATTAAAGATAAAATAAAATTAATAGATAGAATTTAAAATTGTTTGCACACCGGCGATCAGTAATACTAAAATATCGTTAGTGAAAAACAATTCTAAAAGTATTAAAAATAAATTAGCCTATATACATTAAGATGATTCATAAAATGTCTGTCTTCTAAAGAGTAATTTTGTAGAAATAATTCTGATTGAGGTCAAGATTTAAAAAGCTTTTAGAACCTCCATTTGTCAATCATCGTTTCAATCAAATCTATTTAAACACTCTCGATTCGATGAAAAACTAAAAAGGTTAAAGCCAATAAATATATTTACTATAATATTATGAAGACTTGAAACGTATTCCGAGAACAGGAAGCTCGGAAAAATAAAAAAATAATCAAACATTTTGTTCTCCAATAGAATGAAATTGCTGAAGTAAACATTTGATGCATAACACGCCCAACACATTTTATTATACATAATAATAATAATCTAAAAAAAAACAATATTTACTAAATAAAAAAATTAAATGATTAATCTAGCGCAACGTGTCCATTGGCCAATAATATTCGAGTCCACGTTCAAAACAAATCGTGTGCGCCATGCCGAACATAATATTCGTAATTTTTGAAATCACATTATCGGCTTCCGGAACTCCTGTCGAAAACCCTTCGCCCGATTCCCCCCTCCCCACACCGTCTCTCCCTAGTTTAAATCTCCACCACGATAATTATTACGGACTTGTGGGTAATTTCGTGTTTATCTGATCGACACCGATCGCGTGACGTTGTTGCGGTTTCTTCGTGGCATGTATACTTATGTGTAGGTACCTATATATATATATATATTACCCAAGTTACATACCGTGGTATAATTTCCAAAAGTGGATATCTGCATTTGGCTTTGTGACGATATTATGTATATGTAGGTAGGTAGGTAGCTGTACAACGTACCTTCTAAAGCCACGCCGACAAAAATCAATTTGACCGTTAAATGCCGCAGCCGAGGTACGACTCAGGTCTGTAATGCAACATCAAACACACCAGTACGCAATTACATAATATTATTTAAGTATTCAGCTGAGTTTTTAATTAAAAGTATTTTAAGTAATCATTTTTAATTAAATTTACCGGTTAGCAAAACAATGTATAATTTGTTTAAAATAAAAGATGCATATTTTGGAATTATTTTTGCCACGGAAAACAAACATGACCTTACAGAGACAAAGAGGGTTTAAGTAGTGGATTCTAAAATTCTTAGTTTTGTGAGGGAAATGGAAACCACTTTGCTTTGGTTCCATAACAGTTTTTCTAAGAGACAGAAAATGCATAAATAAAACCATTAAGACGAGAATTAATTTAAAATAATATTTTTCTGGAACAAATCAAAACTATGAAATAAATGAATACGGGACGATAAGCATCTGAGAATGTTTATTGTCGTAGGTAGGTCTGGTGAGTTCTTTTATTTTAATAATAATTTTATTTCTAATCGAGTCAACAAATAATGTATAAGTCACTGTTTTATTTAAAACGTATTAGTTAAGACTTTAAACAAAATTTTCAATATTTACTTATATAATATCATCCATTTATTATAACTTCATAATATTATGAAAAACGTTTTCATTAATGTAGCGAAAACGAATATTTGTTAACACACAAACTTACAAAAGTCCCTATCTAAATATAAATAAATATATAATTACATTTTATCCTCGGTTATTATTTAGCTTCCAAGTTTCCTATCATTTTTTTTATTCGACTTAAATAAACTCAAATGATTATGCAGTATGCTATGTAATAACATAGTAATACTGTATATTTATTCTATTGTTCAGCATGTATTTATTTAGTTTGAAACTTTTTCAATTATCTTTGTTCATTTTTTTTGTCCAAATGAGAATTAATAAGCTTTATTTACATATTTTTGCCTGTCAAAAATTGATCAACGTGTAATTGTGTAACTTCGTATCGCTATAGAGATAAGAATTAATACCCATTGGTTACACAAAAAAAAGGAATAAAAATATTAAACCATATCATTTTTCTCTCGTTCTAACGTATACAATTCATGTTGACTATGAAAATCAGCTTTTGAATTTTTTTTTTTTTTTATTATTTT